CTGGGAGGTAGCAAGTGCCGTGATGCCCATTTCACAGATGCGGAAACTGAGGCTCAGATAGGAAAAGTAACTTGGCCAAAGTCCCACAGGGGTGAGTGGGGAGGCCTGGACTCAAACGTGGGTCAGGACTTCAAGCCCCCAAAACCTGTACTTTCGGAGGAGAGAACAAAGGAGAGGGAAAGAAGAGGTGGGAGGAGACAGAGAATGAGAAAGAGACAGAGAATGCAGGACACAGAGAACAAGAATCAGACCCTATAAAGAGAGAAGATACAGAGACACAGAGACAGACGGAGGTGGAGAAACACAGCGAACAAAGAGACAGGGAGGGAGGAAGAGAGAGACAGAGATACACAGAGAGACAGAGACTCAGATTCGGGAGCAGAGAAGAAGCACACAGAGGGAGGGCGGGCAGAGAGGCACCAGGCTGGGGAAGACGGGTGTGCAGAGATGGGCAGTTCTGCAGGGCAAGGGGTGTCTGAGGAGACAGGAGCGTGTTGGGAGGAGCTGGGCTGGCTCCGGGCAGCTTGGACGGTGGGAGGGAGTGAGGATGTGAGTGACCAGCTCGGCCCCCGGGAGTGGGTGTCCAAGAGACAGGTGTACGAGCAGGGAGATGGGACACGACTGATGGCAGGAGTGGGGGGAGAGCGCGAGGCTGGGGAGCAGGAGGGCTGCCGGGTCACGGAGACACAAGGGTTGCCAAAGTGACAGGGCGGACAGGTGCCTCTGTGGAGGAAGCAGGTCACCTGACAGGCAGGTGGGGGAAGTAAGGACACCCGGATGACCGAAGTCAGATGGCCTCCAAGAACTGCCGGTTTCTGAGACCTCAGAGAAACTACTCCGTTTCTCGGGGCTCAGTTTCCTTCTCCGTAAATTGGGGACAAGAATAAGGACCTGCCTCCCGGGGGGCCTCGTGAGGAGGAAACGAGACCGTGGTTAGAAAGAACAGAGAACACTGCCAGTCACCGAGACAGTCTGATTAAGTGGCTGGCTGGGGCTCCTGGCCGCCTCAGTCAGTAGAGCGTGCAAGTCTTGATCTCAGGGTTGCGGGTTCGAGCCCCGTGTTGGGTGCAGAGATTAAGGTCTAGAACAAAACAAAACCAAAACGCAAAGAAACCGGGCAGGAGCTGGGAACATGTTCCGAGTAGGCAGGTGCTACTCAAGGAGCGGTCCGCGGGCCAGGAGCACCTGGAGCTTGCTAGAAATGCAGTCTCAGGCTCCACCCCAGACCTGCCGCACCAGGGTCTCTGGGGCGAGGCCCGGAGCGGTATGTGCCAGCGGCCCCTCCACGTGTTTCCCCTGTACACTGAAGTCAGGGAGCCTCTGGCTTAAGGGAGTCTGTACGATGCAGAGGGCAGGTGTGGGAACCCCTGGGAACAGTGTTATGTGGTCAGCAAATGCTACCACAGGTGTTACTTAAGCTCATCAAGGAAGGTGTTCCCTGAGGGGCTAGATGGCCGGTGACATGTCCTGTGTAAAGGGACAGGTATCTCCAGAGGGGAGCAGGCTGGAGACAGGTGCGAGGGATCTGAAGGTTAGGCTCTCAAGGTGCCGGGGTGGGATGGGGGCGGGGGGTGACAGGTCGCACGAGCAGGTAGTGAAGACAAGCACAGCTGAGACAAGGTGGCTGAGAGGTGTTGGGGTATGTACCCAATGTCTGTAAGAGTCGTGAAAGGGGGTGGCCTGGCTGGCTCAGTCGGCACAGCATAAGACTCTTGATCTCAAGGTCATGAGTTCAAGCCCCACACTGGGCATGGAGATTACTTTAAAAAAAAAAAAAATTTTTTTTTTAAGAAAAAGCAGGGCGCCTGGGTGGCTCAGTCGGTTAAGCGTCCGACTTCGGCTCAGGTCATGATCTCATGGTTCATGAGTTCGAGCCCTGCGTCGGGCTCTGTGCTGACCGCTCAGAGCCCAGAGCCTGCTTCGGATTCTGTGTCTCCCTCGCTCTCTGCCCCTCCCCCACTCATGCTCGGTCTCTCTCAAAAATAAATAAAATGTTTATTTAAATAAAAAAAGAATAAAAAAAGAAAAAGTTGTGAGGGGACAAGAGCTACGTGGACGTCAGCGAGAGGGAAGGGGACTCGAACCTGGTTCACGTCTGTGGGGCAAGAGTGTGGCCAGGAGCAGGCATTCCCTTTGTGGACAGGCTGCGGATGCCAGGGGTATGGCAGAGACCCACTTGAAGAGATGAAAAGCAGAGAGATCAGGGAGGCGACAGGTGTGGAAGCCTCGGTACGTGTTTGCTCCAGGAGTGAGTGGACAGGACATTGGAGCCGGTGATGCTCTGGCAGACAGGTGAGGAAGGGGCACGTATGGAGAGACGCTGGGGTGACCTCGTGCAGCAAGGAAGGGGGGATGTGGGAAACATGGGGAATTAGTTCTGTGGGGGAGGAAGAGAAGTAGGTAGTGCCTGAGGGACGGTGTGGGGCAACAGGTAGCTGCCTGAGGCCAAGGTCAGATTCCCCGTCCAAACCTGTGTACGTATAAGGTGGTGGTGTGCGAGACAAAAGAGAAGCAGAGACAGAGAGACAGAAGGAGCCAGATACAACGTGAGCGGCAAGTGTGGACGGGGGAGGGGTGACTTTCAGGACAAGGGCTCGTAGGAGACATCACGGCAGGGGGGAGGCACACGAGGAAGGGTGCCCAGGACCCACCGCACGCGCGAGCAATCAAGCCATCCCAATTAGGAGACAGGTGCCGGTAGGTGGGTGCACCTGCCGTCTGGGGTGAGTCACCTGAACTGACAAGTGGAAGAGACAGTGGGAAGTAGGTATCTTTGGGCCAAAGGATGGGAGATGGAGTGTGGGGGCGTTAGGTGCAGGCAGGGAGCGTGGTGGGAAGCAGGTGTGTTCTCAGGTGACACATGAGTGGGAAGAGCTTCTGGAAGGAGAGGTACGGTGGACAAGGTTAGCATTGGAAGGGAGGAGTATGGGACTGGAGAGGTGGGAGGGGGCAGGTTAAGAGGATGAGTGCTTATGTGCGAAGGACGGAGTGTGAGTGTGTGTGTGTGTGTGTGTGTGTGTGTGTGTGTGGGTGGGTGGGTGGTGGGGGGGAGAGAGAAGATATGGTGGACAGGTACTGTTTGAGACACAGAAGTGAACAGGAATGTGTGAGAAGTGTGTTTAATAAGTGTGTTTAGAGCTTCAGGGAATGGGGGGGGTGCAGGTAGGAAAGGGACGATGTGGCATGCGTGGGACAGAGGCAGGGATTTGAATGGAAGGGGCCGGTTTTGGAGAATAGGTGTTACCTGGAGAAGCAGGTAAGAGAGGACACGTGTCACCGAGAGATCATAGGCATCTGTGGGGCAGGTTGCAAGGGACACGTGTTACCTGTAAAAGCAGGTGACAGGAAATAGGTGACACCTACAGGGACAGATGAAGAGAACAGGTTACCTGCAGGGGACAGGTATAAGGAGACTAATGTTACCTGGAGGTCCAGATGTGGGGAACTGAAGGGGACACGCTAACGTGACGGGTGTGTTGATACACAGGTGTGAGTGAAAGGTGTTACCTGCGGCCACAGGTGCGCGCAGCATGGCTCTTCAGGGTGATTCACTGCCTTGGTTTCACCTCCTTCCCTCTCCTCCCCTCCCCAGGGGCCAGGGCTGGCGCTGGGATCCCTCCCGAGGCTTGGGCCCCTGGCAGGGTGCGCAGTTAGCTCACGCAGTCAGCTCTGGGCTCAGCGAGGCCGGCCGGGCCTGCCGGGCAGCCGGGCTCCTGAGGCTGCTTGGCGATGCGGAGCGCGTCTGGGCCTCGGCGGGCCGGCCGGGCAGGGGGAGCGGGCGGGGGGGCCGTTTAGCCGTGATAGATCCGCGCGCCGCTTGTCTCTTAATCTCCGGAGCGACCGATCGATTCGCTATTTCCCTTTGTTGCCAGAAAATTCGATCCTGGGCCTGGAATTAGGTCCCCGGCTTAATCTGAGCGGAAACCAGCGAGGGGGAGACAGAGACAGAGATGCTGGGAGAGGCAGAGACAGAGAGATAGCAAGAGACAGAGAAAGGCAGAGACAGACACTGAGAAAGACCTGGGGAGAGAGAGGCACAGAGATTCTGAGATCGTCCGAGAGTTGGACCCAAAGAGGAAGAGAGAGATGCTCCAAAAGACAGAGATAAAGAGTCAGAGACAGATTCTTTGGAGTTAGAGGTGGAGCCAGAGATGCTGGAAGAGACAGAGACACAGTCAGGAGAGACCCAGCCACGGAGGAGATGGCAGAGGTGGCCCAGCCTGGCCCTGGGACGGTGGTGGAATGACAGACAGCAAAGGCGTGCAGCATACTGGCCACCTGTCCCCAGAAGGACACAGTCCCTGGAAGGTCAGGAGCTCCCAGCCCCAAAGTGTGCAGACCCATTTATTGGCCCAAATGACCCCCTTCCACCAAATATCCAGACCCCAAATATCCAGAGCTAAGTGTGCAGACCCTCAGCCTTGAACTCCAGCTCCAAATCCAGACCTCCCAGCACCACCACCACCCCCAGCTAAACCTTCATACTGATCACAGCCCCAAAGGTCCACGCCCCATACTGACTCCAGCCTCAAACTGTCAGCTCTCAACCCCAAATAGCCAGTCTCTTGGCTCTGAACCCCCGGGTCCCAAATTTCAAGCCCTCAGTCCTGGTCTCTAAAACCTCCCAGGATTCTAGCCCCGCACGTCCAGAACCCCCTCAGGTGTGCCCGTCGGCCCCGGTTCCCAAATAGACCCCAGTCTCTGCCGGCCCCCGTCTCTAGCGCTCTCACGCACTCCTCCGCCACCCCCCTACCCCCCGCCGCCTCCGGAGCCCCTGTCCCGTGCGCGCACCTCCAGCCCTCTCCCCCACCCCCCCACCCCACCCCCAGAGCTGGGCGCTGCCCCCACCCCCACCCAGGGCCGCCTCCGCCCGGGGCCGCCGACCCCTCCCGTCTTCCCCGCCCCGAGCTCGGCGGCCCGGCTCCGACGGTCCCTCGGGAGCACCTCCCGCGCCCCGCCCCCCATCCCCGCCCCCGCGCCGGCCCGCGGTGCTCACTCACTTTCCGGGGTTTGCGCCTCCGCTCCGGTCCGGCGAGAAGTGTTTAAAGTTCGGATCCCGCAGCCATGGCCCCGGCGGCGTCCTGGGGAGCGGGCTCCGGGGCGGGGGGCGGGGCCGGGCGGGGGGGCGAGGCCCGGGGGCCCCGGGGGACGGAGCGGGAGCGAGAGTCACTGCGAGACCCGGACGGAGAGACCCGGAGACGGAGGGACAGCCGGGGACGCGGAGAGGGGGGCCGAGCAGAGACCGCGAGACGCGGAGAGAGACGCGCGGGAGAGAGGCGCGCCGAGAGCCGGAGACGCGGGCCGCCGGGGACGGGGCGGCGGCGGGGGTGCGGGGGCGCGGGCGGCCGGCCGTCCTCCTGAGCCTTCTGCGCTGCTTCCTCCTCCTCCTCCTCCTCCTCCTCCTTCCTCTGCTCCTCCGCGGCGCGCCGCGCGCCTCCGCCCTCGCGGCCGCCCGGCCGGCTCGGCGCGCAGATATATGGAGGCGGCGGCGGCGGGCGCTGCGGGGGAGGGGGCGGGAGCGCGATCGATGGAATATAATTTTCCTCAAACTCGGAAAATAAAGTTCAGAGCTGATCAAATTTGAAAACAGATGTCGAATCGCGACTCTAAATAAGGTTCGATCCCGGGACTGAGGGAGTGGGGGTGGGGGCGGGGTGGGTGGAGAGACCCCCCCCTTTCTCTCCCCTCCCCGCCCCGCCCCTCCCGAGGAGGACGCGCGGACGAACCGACTGGCGGGCAGGAGGTGGAGGGAGCAACTACGCGGCCAGGACCTCTGCTGGACGCTCGAAACGGACCCGGACACACAGACACACAGACACACAGGCACCCGGACATGGGGACGCGCGGAGACAGTAACACAGTGCAAACACACGCAGGATACACAGCCTGGTGGGCACTTGGGCACTCAGACACACACAGAGAAGTACATACACAAACAGATGGACCCTGAATCACTGACCCACACACAGACTGGACACACAGACACACACAGAACCATGGCGACACACGGTCACACTCCACCTCTGAACACACAAAGCTTGGGTGACACACAAGCCCAGGGCATCTGGATAGACACACTGACAAGCACAGAACCCCGGGGGCAGGCAGGCTGACACTCCTTCACACGCCCCACGCCTTGTCAGGAGCTCACTCACACCTGCAGGGACAGGGAAGGGCCGGATCTGCTCCCGCGGAAATAACAAGAGCCATGGCCTCAGGCCTCCGAGAGCAGCAGCCCCCAGCCCCAGAGTTCAGCTCCCCTCCAGACTCCCTGGCCTAGCCTGACCATGGCCTTCCCACTCTCCCCTTCCCCTCCTTCCCCTCACTGCTTCTGCGCCCCCCCCCCCCCAACTTTTCTCTCCCATTCTCAGGTCAGGCTCTGCCCCACCCCCAAGCACCAGTGACCCTTTCTCAGGGGAACAGCAGCCCTTGGAGTCACCTGCCTCAAGAGGGAGAGGGTCTCGGGGCAAAACAACAGTCCCCAGATGAATATGCCCCGGCCAGGGCAGCTATGCAAGATGTCACCAGCCCCAGTGACCCCTGGGCAGGGACGCCAGAGGGGGCGGGGGGTGGGAGTGAGACGGAAGGATGGAGCGAGAGGATCTGAGAGAACTTCAGCAGGCTCCAGCCCCACCACCGCTCGCCAGGCACTTGGGCAAGTTACGCAGCATCTCAACGTGAGCTAGTAAGCGCGAGCCTCACTTGGCCCAGCTGCGATGCAGGGCGATCACGCCAGCTACCTCCGAGGGAGGGGAGCAGCAGGACGGGGTGGGGGGGAGCGCTTCCCCTGGGTCAAGCACGAAATAAACCACTTGCCATGAACGTCACTACTTTGGAACGATCATATTAAAAATACTAAACGTTCCTCTAGAAAACGAGAATCCCCTCATTTGTTTCCACGTGGACCCACGCTCTTCCAGGGAGCCAGCAGGAAGCCCCTGCACTGGGCGTCTCCACCCCTTCCTTAGGCCATTCCGGAGACCCCTCTGGAAAGCCACCAGTCCTCCCGAGTGTCTAGAACCACTCTGGACTGTGTACAGCATCCCTGAAGATAGCTCACCGGCCGGACTTGAACCTCTGGGGTGTCTGTGACCTCCAGCCGACTGAGGAGAACACCCAGCTAGCACCTTCGTGATCCGTGGCTCTGAATGCCAAGGAGGAGGTTCCACAACACCCCCTAGGAGGTAGGACTCCTCGTCTGCACGTGATGCCATTCAGGGGAGAAACAACACCCTCCAGGTGTTTCAGGAAAGCTAGAACACTGTCAGGACATCGAGAACACCTACTGGAACGTACTTAATGACCATTAAATACACGAAGGAACACCTGGGAAGAGAGAAGGGACACCTGAGCAGCAAGAACTCCATTAACTGTATGTTACACCCTTCAGTTAGAGAGCCCACCGCTGTGGGGAGGCAACACTTATTACACTGCACGCAGCACCCTTCTGGAAAATAGTAGAACATCCTTGGAATGTTAGTGACAGCCACCTATAAGACAGCAAAGAGCACCAGCCAAGAGGGCTTTCATACTCTTTATCTCTAAATATCTCTTTGTCTCTAATCCCGGCCTCTGGGATTGGCGAGGGCAACCCAGGGCGTCCCACTGTAGGTAACACCTGTGAGGGGCTCGCATTGCCCAACCGGGAGGTTATGGCTGACCGCCACCCCCCACCCCCACCCCACCCCCAGGAGAGCTCTGATGCCCTTGATGGCTAGGACCAGATAGGCTGAACAGTCATGCCCAGAGGCAGGCACGCACACACCCGTCTGACCGCTCAGAATCACCCCCCTCCCCCCCCCAGCCCGGGAGAACACCTTCCTGATTTCTGTGACACCTTTTGGGCTGTGCATCTTTGGACAGTCTGCGTTCCCTCTCTGAGCCCCAGGCGGTTGGCGGGGATCTGTGAGGAGGATGCCGGAGTGAGTGTCCTGTAGGCACGCAGGAACCCAATCGAAGGGAGAGTTCTGACCGGACAGCCTTCCCAGGGAGGGGCGTGACAGCCATCTAGGCTCACCAGTCGCTCGTTAGCAGTATTGCCAACACCTACCTGACCGAAGGAAGCGTCTCGCAGGAGGGGGACCATTAAGCTGTAGTTAACATCCCCAGGGAGGCTGCAGTAGCAGACGACTGTAGTTAACACCCTACTGCGAGAGAACACCCTCAGGGTGTTTAATCCCCCTGGAAAAGAGAGAGAGGACACCCTGGCCAGCCTGCAACAACCAGTGGACTGAATCTATTACCCGTGAAGGCGAGGACACCTCTGGGGTCTGTAATGTCCATTAGACTCTTTTGAACCCCCAAGGAGTGAGAAGGCCCCTCTGTTGGGACTAACGCATGCGAGGGGGTCTCCGGGTACAGGAAATACCCACTAAAGGCGACCGAGAGTGGAGCCAGGATGGGTTTCAGCAGATCACCCGCCCCAAGAATCCACCTCCTGACCCTCCCCCTGCACGGCTCTCCCTGAACCTCAGGAGTTCAAGAGCAGGGTGCACTGAACAGGGCCCGTGCATAATTACAATGATCATGGTGATTGCTTGGGGCCGGGCACGGGACCAAACTCTGCACAGAGATGAACTCGTTGACTTCGGTCAGTAACAACCCTGTGAGGTGGCTGCGGTCACCAGCATTCTCTCCATTTTACTGATGAGGAAACCGAGGCACAGAAGTCACTTGCCCCCTGTTATACAGCTAGTTAGTGTTGGAAGTGGGACCCGAGCCAGTGGAGCCTGGCCGGAGGTGGGGGGAGTTGGGGGAGGGGGAGCCTGTTTTCCTAACCACCAAGCTGGCTACATCACCTGCTGTATACGCCCCCGCTCCACCTGCACGTATTAGACTCCGGTCCCCAGCTTTGAAGGACACCGCCCTGCCCAGTCTGCCAGCACTTTCTCTGCGCAGGCTGACGTCCTCACCCGCAAACCCAGGCTCGAGGCTCCCTGAGGGCAGGGCCTGTGTCCGATTCCTCTCTGGGTCCCCAGTGCGGGCAGAGCCTGTCGCTCAGGGACCTGGGGAGACCCAGGGAGGGAGGGAAGGGAGGAGGAGAGGGGTGTGGAAAGGAGGGCGGGGGAGGGGGACTGAAACCGGGCCAGGCCTCACCCGAGGTGTTGGGGAGCGGGAAGGAATCCAGAGCCCAGGGGAGGCAAGTCTGCTGCGGGGGAGGGGAGCAGACAGCATCCCCGCCCCTCCCCCACCGCTCCCCACCCCCACCCCCTGGAAGGTGGTAGAGGAACGCCGGCAGGGGATGGGGGAGGCCGGCCGGAGAGCAGAGGGAAGCGGCCGGCCAGGGCGTGGTCATAGGGGGCTGGGGGTGGGGGGTGGGGGTGTCAGACGGACGGACAGGAGCGGGGTGTCGAGGAGACAGAAGGACAGACGGGGCAGGAGGGGGGTGGTCCCTGAGGAAGGACCGGCGGGCTTGGGGCTTGGGGTTGGGCGGAGAGGACGGACAGACAGCAGGAGAGGGGCCGCGGGAGGGGCGGGCCGACGGAGGGCGGCAGCGACCGGCGGCCAGAGGGGTGCGGAGGGCCGGCCTGCAGGCGCGGCCCGCGAGGCCGGGGCCAGGCCGAGGGCGCG